AGTAAAACAAATAATAAAACAGATGAAGCCGTAGCAAGCACTAGTGGCTTGCAAAAAAACTCAAACATTGTTCAAAATGAAATGTGTTTTTCTTCTAGTGATAATTCAGACGAAATGGACGAAGATTATAAAAAAGAAGATGAAGAATTTAAATGGAGCTACGATCTATTAAAAAATCGAAAAATAAAACAAACTAAATTAAATGTAGCCCAAATGAGAATCCCCTTATTTCATACAGCTAAAGCCGCGGATTTAACTGGAATTTCAAATAGATCTGCTGCAAAAATAGCAACTGCTGTTTTGGAAGACATGAAAATAGTTTCCAATAAAAAAAGAGCACAAGTTGTTGATAAGAATAAAATTAGGAGGGCATTATTTAAAAATAGAAATTATTTAAAAAGCAAATGGCACAACGATAACAAGAACAAAGATCTTGATGCAATATACTTTGATGGACGCAAAGACCAAACGATCGTTGATTTAAACGGGCATCGAATCAAAAAACTTGAGGAGCACATTTCATTAATTCAAGAACCAGGTAGTCGGTATTTTGGTCACATATCCCTTACTACATCGTCTAAGGCAACTGATATTGCAAGTGGCATATTATCCTTTTTAAACCAAAATGAAGTTGATATGACAAATATTAAGGTTATCGGTTGCGACGGCACTAATTGTAACACAGGCTGAAAAGGAGGTGTTATACGTCTTGTGGAAACTCAGTTAGGTATAAATTAGTTTGGTTACTTAACATAAACAAAATAATAATAATATATATACTTTTTTATTTAGGTAAACCTTTGCAGTGGGCTGTATGCTACTTACACGCAAACGAGCTTCCCTTAAGGCATCTCTTACAAAAACTAGACGGGCATACCAAAGGCCCGTATCAATACCTGACACAAACTATAAAGACTTAAGCACGGATCAGCAGTATTTATATAGAATCTGTCAGGCTGTTTCAGATGGTATCTGCCCCGCAGATCTTGCACAAACAAACCCAGGAAAAATGTCTCATTCTCGGTGGTTGACTACCGCCAATCGTGTCCTGAGATTATATGTTTCAGTAAGTGAACCATCCAATAACCTTAAACTGCTTGCAAAATTTATTGTGAAAGTTTATTCAACAATGTGGTTTGTAACAAAGGCAAAACCATATTTACAATTTGGTGCTCGGCATTTGTGGCAAACGATTTATCTTTCAAGGCAATTTCCTGAAACAATAACAGCCGTTGTTGATAAAGCCATTTTAAATAATGCATTTTACGCACATCCTGAAAATATTTTAATTGCCATGTTAGCCGATGAAAGAAAACATATAAGAGAACTAGCAGTAAGACGGATTTTAAAAGCTAGAAATAACAAACCAGAAGGTGTTCGAGTTTTTAAAATTCCGAACTTAAACTTTGAGGCTCAAGACTATATTGATTTAATTAAATGGGCAGAATGTACAATTACAGAACCTCCTTTAACGACTGGACTAACACAAGGAGAACTAGAAAGATTCATAAGCAAAGCAGACGAATTCTCCACAAGGTTTGGGAAATTTCCATGTCACACACAAGCAGTAGAAAGGTGCGTAAAGCTTGTAACGGAAGCTGCATTGAAAGTTTGCAGTGAGGAAGCAAGAAATGGTTATATAGTAGCAAAATTAGATGCGAGGAAATCTTTACCAGCGTATGACAACAAGGGTCAATATTATAAATAAAAATGTAATACGAATAATATAATAATTATAATATTTGGGTATGAAATAAAGTAAAATTCTCATTTTTGTAATTTTTAATTTTCTATGAGTGTCTTAAAAAATAAAATATTTAATCAATACACACATTTTGTTTTCCTAGTATTTATAAGAAAACTTTTGTTGCTACCCCATTAAAAATCTCTAAAAAAAATGTAGGGCCCTTGTGGCTTCCAATTTGGGGCCCTTGGGGCTTCCTTAAATATTAGACTAATACGGTTAGGTTTTTTTCTACAATTACTTTTACTATAGGTTAATTTTTTATTGTTACCTCACTCAAAATATATACAGGGTGTTATTGAAATACACGTACATATTAAAACTGGGTATTGCGCAGATCCCCACTGAATGTAGAAAAATATTATTTTTTAAAAATACCCCTTATTAAGGGAGTTATTAATTTTTGAAAATTAATTCTAAAACAAACGTACTTCACTGATATGTTGAAGATGACCTATATAAATTAGGTTTATTTACCTATTTTAAACATCAACAGTAATTAATATGCAAGTTTTTGTCAGATGATAAGAAAACTAGTCTTGTAAGAAATAACCATGTTGCCAAGATTTTCGAATTAATTTCTATTTCCGAAGACTGGTTTTTACTACCCTCGTTATCAAAAAACTAGAATATTTGATAAATGATTGTTTTTAAACTATACATTTTTGAAACTATAGATTATTAAAATTTTAGTTGATTTACGAATCTGGCTAACACGAGCGCGTCATTTCCAAGTTGGTAAAAAGTGTTGTTACGATTACTTTTAAATATTTTTTTACGATGCCACTATTTACGAATATTGAACTAACGGATATAGTGCTGGTTTATGGGGCAGCTGGAGAAAATTCTCGGCAAGCACAAATCCTGTATCGCGAACGGTTTCCAAATAGGAGAATTCCGGACTGTCGTACGTTTATTTCAACTGTTCAGCATCTAAGAGACCAGGGAAAATTTGAGAGTGTCAATGCAGATCGAGGGAGAACAAGAACACAAAGAACATTGGCGGCCGAAGAAGAAATATTGGAAGCTGTTGAAAACCGGCCTCAATTAAGTTGTAGAAGACTAGGTCTTGAAATTGGAGTGTCCTCATTTGTTGTGTGGCGGACACTTAAAGAACAAGGTTTACATCCCTATCACATCCAAAAAGTCCAGGCCTTATATCCAGGTGATGAAGAAAAGAGAGTGGAGTTTTGTGAATGGATGATTCAAAAATGTGTTGATATTTCTGATTTTCTAAAAATATTATTGTATACTGACGAGGCTTCATTCACTCGTGATGGCGTGTTCAATATGCACAATACGCATATTTGGAGTGATGAAAATCCTCACGCCATTAGGGAAACTGGGCATCAAAGAAAATTTTCAATACATGTTTGGGCTGGCATAATAGATCAGTATTTAATCGGGCCATATGTTCTCCCGAACAGATTAAATGGGCCAGGATATCTCCACTTTTTAGAAGATATTTTGCCAGTACTCCTAGAAGAGATACCGTTACAATTAAGGCAACGGATGTGGTACCTACTAGATGGCGCTCCTCCTCACTTTGATTTAAACGTACGGCAGTTTTTGAACATTAGATTTCCTCAAAAGTGGATAGGCAGAAATGGACTTACTAAGTGGCCTCCGAGATCTCCGGACTTAAATCCATGCGATATCTTTTTGTGGGGTCACATGAAACAACTGGTTTATAATGAACCTATTAATAGTGTTGAACACTTAACCAATAAAGTTAATGCGGTAGCCGAGGAACTACGACAAAATCCAAGACTAATTTCTAATGTTCAAAGTTCTTTGGAAAGACGATTGCAAGTGTGTGTAAATAATAATGGACGGCATTTTGAACAATTACTGTAATAAACTATATTTTGAATTAATTGGTTTTGCTACGGCAACAGTGCAATTTCTATGGGTAAGTTCAATTTCGATTTATTTTACTTCTTTAAATATGGAAACTAGTAGGTCGGAAAAGGGGACTCTTCCCCAATATTTAAATTTTAGAATTTTAAGTTAAAATTGGTGCCAATCGTTTTTGGTCATTACATACTATTCCCAATTTTAATATGTACGTATATTTCAATAACACCCTGTATATAAAAAAAATTGGGGTCCCTGGGACACCCATAAATATTGGGCTACCTGAGTAATTTTTTTTTGCAATTGATTTTACCATAAGGTAACTTTTTATTACTACCCCACACAAAATATATATTAAAAAAAATTGGGGCCCCCCGGGGCCCCCTTAAATATTGGGCAAGTACGCTACTTTTTTTTCTACAAATTCCTTTTGACATAGGGCAACTTTTTATTGGTACCCTCAAGTAAATATAATATATAGATTTTTTTTTACAATTTTCGGCCCACCCTAATGGACAATTCTGTTGTCTCGGCAGCATCCACAAGTTATGGTGTTGAACCGATAACCTATTGTACTCGGTATTCTCAGCAGCAAAAAAAGAGAATCCGTGTTGCTCGTCCAGCTGTTGTGGGTGAATACAATAAATACATGGGCGGTACTGATAGGATGGACCAAAACGTCTCTTATTACAGAGTTTCTATTCGTGGAAAGAAATGGTGGTCGCCCATATTTACGTGGCTTTTAGATGTCTCTGTTCATAATGCCTGGTTGCTGAAATTGAAAGCTGGAAGTTAAATCTCGCAACTCGATTTCCGAAGACGAATTGTTCAAGTCATTCTCAACAAATATAAAAATGATCCACAGGGTCCTGGTCGTCTACGAGGATATAAGTCCAGTTTGGACAACAAAGTGCCCAGGGAAGTTAGGTTAGATGGTATTCGGCATTTTGTTGAGCCTTGTAACCTATTGCAGAGCACTGCAAAACCTACCTTTTGATACGCCTATGTCGAAAATACTAGGGAAACGAAACAAAAAATAAATATAATTTGAAATCCGTTAATCACTCAAAATAGACATTCCAACAATTCTGTTCTTCATGTTTGACCATTATAGAAGGTAAAATTGAAGCGGTGTTTTATTCCATCTGGGTATAAGATACAGTCCACTACGAAAGGCAAATATAAAGCATCGACTCCAACATAACCGGCGAAGATGTACTGGATTAAAGGTCTCTGCCCACTACAGCGTACCATACCATGACCATAGCAGGAACGTGTCAGGCACGAAAGAAAGCACTCCGGTCACTACTGTGCCCACTGCAGCGAATCAACAGCGTTTGATCCTCACATACAACGCATATGATAACCGTGCCTCACCAGTTTACTAGCCGTTTGGGGCCTGTTCTATCAGTTGTATATGTGATTATTTTGTTTTGTTTATCGCGGAAGCAGTCGTCGAGAGAACTACAATCTATATGTATAATATAGTTTATTGTGTTGTAAAATTCCTTTAAAATACAATGCCTATTAGAAAATTATCTTTAAAAGAACTGACCATGATTGCCATTATTTTGGACGATGAGGAGGAAAAAGAAAATGAAAAAAAAGACCATTCGACGCTGCTGGATTCACGAATCTCTAAGAAAACGAAAAACCGAGGGAGAATATTGGACTTTATATAGGCACCTAGTTGATGATGAAGAAAAATTTTTCCAGTATTTTCGTATGATGTCATTTCAATTTAATGAATTGCTGGGGAAAATCGAAAATAATATTACCAAAAGAAACACTAATTTTAGAGAAAGTTTGTCACCTAAGGAAAAGCTAGCTGTATGTCTACGGTAAGTGAAATTAATATATAACTATGTACTTAAATCACTTTTATTTGAAATATTTATAATTCTTATGACAAAGTAGTAGTCAATTAAGTTGTTTTATTTAAACAAAGCCTTGTGATTGCTCGTTCCAATTATTAGGAGATAGCGACATTGGAGTAGCACTTGCTGGAATGCTGGATGCCGCCGATTGCGGAGATGGTGTGTAGGTATTCATATAAGTGCATTGAGGCAACGAAGACGTTACGTTAGGTGGCGCAAGCTGCTGTATTTCCATTTCGGAAACTAGTAAAAATATCTTGTTCTTTAGCAGTGCTTGTTGATATGGTGAAAATTTCTTAGTTGTATCAGATATATTTAAAAAGAAACGATCTAACTCGTCGGGTTCGCGTTGTGGTCCAATTTTGTTTTGCTCGTCTAGTAATTTTGCCATCAATACAGCAGATGCTGATGGTGGTGCTGTCTGAGTTTTAACCTTCTTTACTGCCTTCGCCTTCTTTCTTTGATTATGATCTAGGTTAGTATTTTGGACAGCATTTTCAACTTCCGTCTGAGTTACAGTAACTATCGTATTGGAATCGGTAACATGTATAGCAGCAGTATCATTGACTTCATTTTCAATAGGGGTTTCCAATGTATTCGGGTCGATTTCACCTGTTTCATGATCATTGTCAGGATCTTCGTCATCGCTTGTAAGCTCGACAGAATCCAAAGTTTTTCTTTCTAAGAAGAACGGAGCGACAAATGACATCTCGTCTTCATACTTCCATTTTTTCATTTTTTTCGCTGCCTGTCCAGTTTTTCCTTTTTTTCTTGTTTAATGCTCTTCTGTACGCATCTCTGAGCCCTTGCCATCTTTGTTTACAGGCTGCAGCTGTAAAAAGATAATAAAAATTTTAATGTTATATAAAATTAACATTACAAAGTTTAGCATTAAATCCTATTTTTCTGTTGTACTTTTTTTCGTATCTTCATTATTGGTTCATTTGTCCCCACGGAAACTCTATTTGCGGAAATACTGTATTAATAATAATAATAATAATTTGTTTTTAGGTATTTAGCAACTGGTGATTCGTTCACAACAATTGCCTTTAGCTATCGCATGGGAATAAGTTCTGTAAGACGGAGCGTATTGGAAATTTGTAATGCTATAATAAACAACATGTTTCGGGAAACGATTCCTACACCCAGTACAAAACTATGGGAAAAAAACATAGTAGAATTTTGGAATAAGTGAAATTTTCCAAATTGTGTAGGTGCTATCGATGGAAAGCATATTGTGCTTGTGGCACCTCCAAACAGTGGTTCCCTATATTTTAGTTATAAGAAGACATATTCTATTGTTCTTTTGGCTTTGGTTGATGCAAATTATAATTTTATAGCTGTAAACGTCGGTGCTTTCGGCAAAGACAGTGATGGTGGTATCTTCTCAAAATCGAAAATGGGAAAGGCTTTATTAAACAATAAATTTAATGTTCCAGTTAGCAAAAATTTTCCTGGGACGAATATAAATGCACCATGTGTAATATTAGGTGACGAAGCATTTCCTTTAAAAAATAATTTATTAAGACCATATCCATCACAACATTCAATTACAGATTATAAAAAACGCCACTATAACTATCGCCTTATCGCCTTTGCCGGGCTCGACGTGTTGTTGAAAATGCTTTCGGTATTTTAAGCCAAAAATTTCGAATTTATAATAGGCGTTTGCATTTAAAACCAGAATATGCGGAAAAAATTGTTTTAACAACTTGCATTTTGTATAACTTCATAAGACGTGGAGAAAGTGTTACTTTCACGGAAGCAACAACTCTTGTACAGTTTAATAACCTGCGACACCAAGGGGGCAATGCAGCTTCTTCCGCTTTTGAAGTACGTGATCAATTCGCGGATTTCTTCCAAACTGTTCAAGGTCAAGTGGACTGGGTTTTTGACTGAAAATAAATGAAAATTCATATTTACCTGATTGTTTTAGTTGCTCCGAAATGTCCTTCCATGCCATTTCTTTTCTTACGGTATCCATATATTTTGGATGTTGCAAATTGTAAATAAATTCATATTTACGAACACATTCCATCAATTTTTCGTCCTCCATAATATATGCACGTGTGTACTCGTTCAAATCTAGCTAAGAACTGTGGTCGAGGAAAAACAAGGCAAAAGAAACACAGCTATAACGCGGTACATACGCGGCTATAACGCGGTAAACACGCGGCTTGACAACATAGCGTGCCATGGACGGTGCGTCTCGGTACCTGCAAAATATTCTCGCCGTGAAATTGTTGACGGTCCTGTCATGGCACGCTACCTTGTTGGCCGGTGACGGAACGGTCTAGTGGGCGTTGTCGCATATCAAAACATGCAAAGAATATTTTTTTGTATGTGTCGATACGGTTACGGTCCTAGTATGGTCAGGTGTAATGGACAGAGACCTTTAACTGTAAAAAAAACTGTTCGGACCCAATGTGGTAAATGTGACGTTGGACTGTGTATAGAATGTTTCAGATCTTTCCATGTTAATTAACATATTATGTGTAGACCTGTTCACTTTTTTGCATGTTTTTATGTGTTTTTTTAATTTAAAATAAAAAATTTAAATATGTACCTTTATTATATCATATTTGTCAGAACTATGCAATATAAAACAAATTTAACAAAAAATATTATTTCAGGCGTTAAAGGGTTAAATTATTGGAACATATATGTTACACTACGACTTCTAATTAGTGTGCGTTCTTAAATGAGTCTGTAAGTTACAATTATGATTAAATTTTTTGGAACACATGTTACACTTGAATTTTTTTTCGTTAGTGTGAATTATTGAATGGCTATGTAAGTTAGATTTATGAATAAATTTCTTAGAACAAATGTTACATTTGAACGGTTTTTCATTAGTGTGAGTTCGTAAATGAGTCTGTAAGTTACATTTGTGTGTAAATTTCTTGGAACAAATATTGCACTGGAATGGTTTTTCATTAGTGTGGATCTTTAAATGTTTCTTTAAATAATATTTTTGGTTAAATTCCTTGGAACAAATGTCACACTTGAACGGTTTTTGACTAGTGTGGGTTTTTAAATGGCTCACTAAGTTACATTTAAGTTTAAATTCTCTGCAACACATGTTACACTTGAAGGGTTTTTCATTAGTGTGATTTCTTAGATGCCTCTGTGAGTTACGTTTATCATTAAATTCTTTGTAACAAATATTACACTTGAACGGTTTTTCATTAGTGTGGGTTCTTAAATGAGTCTGTAAGTTACTGTTTCGAGTAAATGTTTTGGAACAAACATCACATTTAAATAGTTTCTCATTAGTATGGGGTTTTGAATTCTGTAGGTCAATTTTTTTTAAATCTCCAATAAATGTATAAGCTGCAGGGTGCTTCAGAAAATGCCCGTCAAAATCTGTAAATAAAAATATATCACTGGTTCAAAAATTACAACAATTGAAAACATACAGGGTTGGCCAAACCTCTGTCGTAGTTCTATAACTCCTAGTATGCAAATCTTAACGATTTATTCGAAGTATACCTGTCAATGGTGGTCAAAACCAAATATCCCAAAATTATTTTCTTGTGTACAGGGTGGCCCAATAGTAAATTAGGCAAATCACTTATTTTTTTTTTAAATGGAATGACCCAACTTTTTTTCCAATTTTAGGTACTCTATGGTCACTAGTGCATACCCACAAAATATTGTTTCTAACATCCTACCCCTTTCGCAGAAAAAGAAGAAATACCAAAAAGTATTACATTTTCAGACGCCTATTAAAATATGCAGTGCTCTCTCGAATTTGACGTTAGAATTTAAAAAACTACAAATGTATAAAGCCAATAGACCAAAGATTTTTTAGACCAAGTTTTAATTTTTTATTTTGTACAGGGTGGTCACAAATTAATTTCAATTTCCAAAAATTTCTAGGACATTTTTTTCAAATTTTTCAAATAGAACACCCTATATTACTATTCATCGATGAAACGAGAATGTTATACCCTTCGACTTCCCCATGTACTTTCCTATACCTATCTGTCGTCGTTTAAAAGTAAATTCCAAAAAGACATTGATCTATCAAAAATCCAATTTCTACCAGTGGTTTTATTGAAAGTGAACATTCAATCAAGTAGGCTGGGTCTTAATGAAGTGTCAGATTATTTATTAATGAAGTGTCAAGTTATTTTTACTGATCGCGATAATTCTTCTATTAATAATGAATTTTACGAAAAGCGAATTAATTGACATGGTCTATGTTTTGGGAGAATCCGACAGAAATTGTTTATTGGCAAAAAGAATTTATCATCGACGATATCCCGATAGACGCATCCCTGATCAAAAAAGTTTTGAAAAGTTACATGAAAGATTTACCGAAACAGGAAATGTTGCTTATAAAAAACCAATAATTGACAAACGTGCTACTGATAATGATAACCAATTATCTGTAATTTTGACAGCGATAGAAGATCCTCATGTAAGTCAAAAAAAGATTGCCGAAGTAGTAGGTATAAGTAGAACATCCGTTAGAAGGATTTTAAAACAGCATCAATATCATCCTTATAAAATACAATTGCATCAAGAGCTGAAAGACACCGATTTTGATAATAGAATGGTGTTTTGTAACTGGGCACAAACTAAACTGCAACAAAATCCATTTTTTTTTTTTATAGAGTGCTGTTTTCTGATGAATCTACATTCCACAAGAACGGATTCGTTAATAGACATAATTTCCACTATTATTCCACGGAAAATCCTAACATCATCAGAACACATAGCCAAGAAATATGGAGTGTAAATATTTGGGGAGGTATAATTGGGGATGATGTTATTGGGCCGTATTTTTTTGAAGGCAACTTAAATGGTATGATGTATTTAGATTTTTTAGCAAATCATCTTCCTACTTTACTTGAAAACATTTCCCTTGCTGTAAGACTAACAATGTGGTACCAACATGATGCGGCAGCAGCGCATTTTTTACGCGAAGTGGAAGATGAATTAGATGAAAAGTTTCCAAATAGATGGATTGGTAGAAATGGTCCAAAAAAATGGCCAGCTCGATCACCTAACTTAACAAAACCCGATTATTTTTTGTGGGGTTATATTAAAAATCTAGTCTATCTTACGCCACCTACAACACCTGAAAATATGAAAGAAGGGATAGTGCAAGCTTTCCATTCCATTACACCTGATATGCTTAGAAACGTTTCTCGATCATTCGCCCAACGAATAAATGTATGCATTAGAGAAAATGGCAGACATTTTGAGCATCTTTAATAAAATGTAAATTTATGTTTTAGGATAAATTTCAAATAAATTTTATTATCGTAATTTTCTTCCTTTTGAATTTATTTTATAACGGCGACAGATAGGTATAGGAAAGTACATAGGGAAGTGGAAGGGTATGAAATTCTCCTTCAGTTGATGAATAGAAATACAGGGTAATACATTTGAAAAATTTTAAAAAATTTCCCTCGAAATTTTTGGAAAGTGAAATTAATTTGTGACCACCCTGTACAAAATAAAAAATTCAAACTTGGTCCAAAAAAATCTTTGGTCTATTGGCTTTATACAATCGTAGTTTTTTAAATTCTAACATCAAATTGGAGAGAGCACTGCATATTTTAATAGGCGTCTGAAAATGTAATATTTTTTGGGAATTTTTTTTTCTGTGGAAGGGGTGGGATGTTAGAAACAATATTTTGTGGGTATGTACTAGTGACCCTAGTACCTAAAATTGTAAAAAAAGTTGGGTCATTCTATTTAAAAAAAATTAAGTGATTTGCCTAATTTACTATTGGGCCACCTTGTACACAAGAAAATAATTTTGGGATATTTGGTATTGGCCACCATTGACAGGTATACATCAAATAAATCGTTAAGATTTGCATAGTAGGAGTTATAGAACTACGACAGAGGTTTGGCCAACCCTGTATACAA